GAAAATGCTGATCAAGCTTTCTTAAAAACGCTAAAAGTATACACGTGAATTTTGAATGATACCTAAAATAGTCTGATTCAATTAGTCAAAATGGGTTTAGGCCCATGACACATACAGCCTTGATTCCTCTCATTTTGAGCTATTTAAAGGAGAAGTTTCCCTTCAGTCCGTACTGTTGAAAACTTGGTAAATGAGAAACAGCACCCAGTATGAATACAAAAATAAGATACAGTTACAGTGCCAGTCTTTTCTATGTCAAGGATCAAGTAATAAGTATTCATTTTCTTCAGGTAATACACACACTAGTTATAAAAGAACAAAGAGAGCACAATTATACGCAAAATCTGCAGCAGATGTTTGAAATGCTTCGTAACAGGCACATTGCAGAGGTGTAAGGTGTAGAATGCAGCTGGTATTATGGAGTGATGTGATAGATACTGATGGCACCTCACAGTTAAAACCAGTAACGTACTACTTTGACTGCAAAAGTATGACCTAGTGGATGACCTTGCCGCATGGTTGTAGGGTATCTGAGGTATTTCCTATGTGTGGCATTTTGAGACTATAGTTCTAGGCTGTAGAAGGACATTTGTTGAGGTCCTGGGGCTGGGGAGAGTTCAGGTACCTCAAATTGCGAGCCGCAGTTAGAAAACCAGCTCTTCAGAGGCCACAAACAAAGCAGATACTTATACTGGCTGGGCACCTCTCTGTTTAGTCTGGCAACTTACCAATGCTAATGTAATACAGAATACGACAGGGAAAGGGAGAAAGGGCTGAGACTCAGTACTCGCTTTGTTACCCGAGGTGTGGACTCCCGTGCCCTCAGGCTGTGCTGCTGACAGAGGGATCTTGCTGCCCAGCTGAGCAGCCTCGGGAACAGGAGAGGCTTTTCTCGCCCCACCTATGGGAGATCCCCCAGACGGGTCTGAATGCGGATCCTGAAAGTCTATTCTTAAGGTCAGGCACTCAAAGGAGCTTCTCTGATACCTAACGAGAAGGTGCTGATTTCCTTTTCCAGGTCTGGCTCTCGGTCTTTTGAAAAGTATCACAAATGGTGCAGATTATGCAAGTCTACATCAGGCACAGCCACAGTCATGTTTTATTGTGTGTAAAACAACTGTGAGACTGTGAACGTGAGAGACCAGCTAGCTCCTCCACAGACCTCATACAACATTGCTAAAAGCTGGATTTGCTGACCACACCTGTGTCAGCGCTTACACTTTGGTTGTACAGGTTTACAGTATGAAATAATTTGCTAAAAGTTCTCTTATTTTTATTGATTCTTTGCCAAACAGGAATTAATTGTTATGATCTGCTGAGGAGAACAGGACTGCTTTAAGGCACAAAACTGCATTACTAACTTCAGTGTCAGAGCAATAGTACAGCGGTCAAATGTCACTCCTGAGCTGCAGTAATATATCAGATTTGTTTTATGCGCTGTGATTTACTAGTACTGGGTTTTAAATACCAGTTGCCATCACTGTAGCTGCACAGCTCCTCTGACGAATATATGGTCCACAGTCGAAAGACTGACATAAATTAAGTACGTTCACATGCTTCAGCACCCTCTACCAACAAGACTGTTGCTGATTTTCACAAACCAGAAGGAAAGACAAACCAATTTCAAGCAAGTTAGCTGTAAATTCAGTGCCTTAAGAAAGGACCGGAGAGGAATTAGGGTCCAATTAACTTGAGAATTGGCTTTGGACTGTGGGGAGACCAAAAAGCCCCTGCAGACAGAGGTTCACAGTGGACAGAATTGCCATTGACTGGAGAAGTCTTTAATGACCATGCTTCTAAGTTATGTTCCTGATGACTGCTGCTGTGTAAGATAAACTGAGGTACGTAAACCTGGATCTGAGATGCTCCCTGTGCAGGCTTGCACCTAAATTAATGGCCAGAAAACAGCAACTCCCATTCCTTGTGTTCCCATAGATACTGGTTGTAATTCTCAGCAATGAAGCTGGGCATGGTGGACGGGGATGTCACAAGGCAACACCACCTCAACAGTGATCCTCCAGTACTCATCCAAACGCACAGAAATCTCAACCCTTGAGGAATTCTTAAGTTTTTCCAAGTAGTTTTTTCTTTGCATGTCAACATTTGAATGTAATACGGCGTAGCTGAACGTTAGTGCGTATCGTTCAAAGGAGACTGTTTCCGTTTGTTTCTGCTTTGCTATCATATGGTTTTAGATAAGAGTTAAACTACAAGTGACATCTGTCACTTAATCTATCATGCAAACATCAGCACATATCAGATTCAGTCTAAATTTAAGATACACTGTGAAAACCATTTAGCACATTATGAAAGGAACAAAATGAATTTTCAGTCACTGAGAGTGTCTCTGTCATCCTTCATTCTGAAAAAATGGAAAAGTTAACGATGAGGAAATGTCTAACGTACAGAAGCAACTGCTAATAACTGAAAAAATGAATTGGACTATACAAAAATGTCAATATTCTAGGGCCATCCTGCAATGTTTCATGGAATAAGGTCTGAAGACCAATGGAGATATTTTTAATTCTTAAATTTATTTGGCTGACAAGGGAAGTTAATGGAGACAGGTTGTTCCACAAAGGGAAATTACACCGTGGGTTACTTATAACATACGTTGCTACAGATTGTTGCATGTGAGCCCAGCGCTTAACTGGAAGCCAATCCTGAATTTCTGATTTTTCCATTAATTTGCGAAGTTGTTTCTTCTAAGTTAATATTCTCAGGTGCAAATGATGCATTCTCAATCTCCGAAGCATTTAATTGTAGCGCACAATTTTACATTTTCAAAAAACTAGTTGCACTGCTGTCTTGAGGAGAAATCATGTAGGAGATGAAGTACTCCCCTGTGTAAAAAGCAACCATCACTGGTGTTTCTGTTTGAGGCATCAGTGGCCACAGAGAAAAAAAATATGTCCTTTTCAGCCCACTGCTCAGTTCTTTTCTCCATCAAAAGAGGAAGCAAGGCGATGTTGGCAATATAGGAAAGGTTTTGTTCTGCCAACGCGCCTCGCTTCAGCCAAAGGCAAATCTTGAAATATAAGGCTAACGAGTACGAATGACTGTGGATTATACTTTGGTGCATTGTTGTTCCTCCTGTGGCACCCGCTTCCTCATTTTCTCTATTTTCGCATTTCTCCACAGCAAAACATCCCCAGGGTTTTGCTGTTTGAAGGAGACGAGAACTATTTGTATGATCTGCTCCGTTTGCAACATGCTCTCCAGCTGACCCTCAGCTGCAACCCCTGGTGTGTCATCCCAGCTGTGCAAATTCCTAGTAGCCATTCGGGTTGATTTCCGAGTCACCTCGCAACTCGTGCCGAGCGCCACCGGCCGCGGGGCCCCGGGGAGCGGGACGGGGATGGGGACACTGCCGGTCTGGTCCCGGAGGGAGTTTCCTTCCCTCGGCCTCGTTTGGCTCGGTAACCCCTCCCGTGTCTGTCACCTTTCGTTTCTGTGGGAAAAATGCTGTAACTATTAATTGCTGCTACATCTTCAGCGATCGCGCGTAGATGCAGGAAGAGCGGGCATCCTTCTCTGGTTCTGTTTGCCCGAAGGAGCCTTCCTTCGCTCTCTTTGGAGCTGTGTGTTTTGTTTCCAGAATTTCTTCAAAATTTGCATGTGAATGCTGCTATTTCATTATGTGTTTCTAGTATCTTACTGCTTAAAGAATTGCAGCTACTAACTTCTTCAGGGTGGGCGCTATATAACCCCTTGCGTTTCTACCACACCTGCCATGACAGGGACCAGATGTGAGTTGTGAACACTCACAGCCTCTAGTTGGGAAAGTACGTCAGCTGTCTACTAGATAGTAGATATCTGAGGATATTGGTAATTACAGAGATGTAACTGAAAAGGTTGTTCCTCTGTTCTGCATAAATGTTTCTTTGAAATGTTTTCCGGCTGAGTTTCTCATGCCCTAATCCAGTATCATTATTAAATAATCATCAGCATTTTACTCTCCATTCTTGGCAGCCCAAGCTCCAGCTACCGTCAACAACCATCAAGATCAGGGGAGGCCACAAAAGAGCATTCAGGGATGAAATAGTCAAGAATATTAAAAATAAATCCATGTTGATTATGTCTGTTCAAATGGCTCATTTAGGATCTGAATTCAAAGATGTTTTGTTCTATAAACAGCCATCAGCACCACCCCACTGCTAGGAGAATGTGATCGCTATAAGATATCTGACAGCTTTCGGGTTTTTATTTGCTATGGAGTTTGTCATTATTACTGTAAAACCCAAGCCCTGTGCCAGCATGTGTTATGGGAAAGAGGCTTATTGCTACATCAGCCAAGCTCAGCCCTCAGACTGAAATGGTATTTGGACCAGAATTCTGACTTACCTTTCATATAGAGACTTTTCCTTTAGGAGTTTCCACTGAAATTGGTGAAGCTATTACAGGTATAAGAGAGCATTCAAAATGAATAGAAGTGCTAGGAACTAGATCTTACGGGGCACACGTGAAGGCTCATAGAAATTAGTAGGAAGTGTGATGTGAACATAGAAGTCTGCCAGGGGCCCTGCAGTTACCTGAACTGATCAACAGCAATACCACTCTTCAGTGTTAAGCAATATTCTGCAGGTATGTATGTATGTAGAAATGGGGGGAAACTTTTTTTTTTTTTACATAAAAATATACTTTATTGATAGTATATAGATGTATTTGTACCAAGGTTTAACAAACTGGATTCCACTTTCAACTATGTATATATCTAAACTGTGTGAATCAGCCATAATATAGTCTGTCACAGTGTAATGTGCAAGGACATTTATTTATCTACTGCTAGAGTACTCCTTTTTATCTGGTGCATTAACCCACATACACACATGATGCTTTATTTAATATTTCATCTGCATAGGTCAACTGTGTCAAGTAGCTGCCAAAGAATTTCAAAACGGCTTTCCTATTACAATTACTGTAAATGTGATAATTTATATATTCTAATTTTTCATCTTTATAAACAACATGCTGAAGACTACCTGTCAAGAGATTACAACTCAACAACTATTTTCTGGCATAATCCTACATTTAAGAATTTTTAAGTAGCTTTGTACTTTATTGGAGTCTCTCCTGAAACAGTGAATAAAATCAGAGTCACTCATCATGTTTGCTTCATTACTAATTGATAAACCAGTGGCTTCAGATGATGCCATTCCATTTAATGAATTGCTGATGATCCCCATAGACTGCATCTGTATTGAAAACAGGAAAAGACGTACAACTCATAACTACGTATACAACAAGTCTTTAAAATACTAGTGCAGAAGTCAACTGGGGCATCACTATGTTGGGCTGTTCGACTCCAGACCATTTTTGTCCTTATTGAAGATATATGTAAAGCTCCTTACATAGAATAACATTGCCTTTTTATCTTAACAGTATTGATACAACCTTTAGACTAGCCTGAACTGATCTGATATACTAGCAATGCAAGAATACCAGGGTATAACTCCATCTGAGTTTAAGTTGAGGAACCTCTATTTGGTAATTGTTATTTCCTCTTGAAATAATAGAGCAAGTCAGTCTTGAGATTCTTTAGCCATTTATTTTAATGAGTTTTGTAAAGGGAAGCTTCTAACATGAGCATTCACTGGTGCTGTTTAACCTGGTGAACTCTGCAGACTGTTATCACCTCTCAGAGTAGCAGCTTCACAACAGAACCAAGCTTAGAATTAATGTCTTACAGAAAAACACAGCTGCAAAATATTGGAATGAATTTGCATTGTTTGCTTCATTTTTTAAATTATATTTCTACCTTGTGGTATGTCCATAGTACAGAGAGGTCAAAACTTCAAAGCTTTCCTTCTTAGTAATTCCTTCAAAGGTGTTTTAGAAAAATAAAATCAGGTAAATATACTAGAAGTGTGTAGCTCGTTTAGAGTTTGATGGATTGCTTCAGTTACAGAATGAAGCAAACAAAGGTCAAGCTTTGAGGTTGAGTACCACTGAACTTTAAGGCCATTAAGCCAGAACCATGGCTGCACTTGGAAGATGGGCTTTCCATTTGTAACTATGAGTCACCCTAATCAGGGCTGCATTTTAGAGCAGGGTACAATTCCTCCTTTTCTAGTGATAAGCTGCTTATTTTAAAACTTGTATTCCCTACCTGCATTTATAAAGCTAAAAGGTGATCTACTAGTGCAAAGATACTAGTTTATTATTCACTTTTTAGTGAAACAGACACTTTGGCAGCATAGCCATTCCAGAGAATGGACACACAGCCCACACATGTTTAGCGAAAACTACAAATAAGTTTAGATATGAATGCACAAGAAGTACAAAGATCAGGACTTCTAGCTAGTAATGAGAAGACAGAAATGGAAATAACAAAAAATTACATCCAGTAATTTATATATTATCTGCCAGAATTTGGAATGGAGTTTTGAAATTGTTTCGTGACTGGCATCTGACTTAAGCAATGCCACTGTTGTCTTGAAGAACTTATCCCAGCATAAAATTGTTGCCTTAGGAAGAAGCTCTTTGCAGCAGACAGCAGTGATACTTGAATTACTTAGAATATAAATCCAAATAAAACTGAAAACAATAATTAAGTATTTGTCACAGTCTACCCACATCTCCTCTACTGCCCTAGAAAAGTCAAGTCATTACTGGCTCATATGTGAAGCTGTAAATTGCTCTAGTCTTTGTACTTGTGTCTTTCCTTCATATATTTCATATCAATAAAATATTGCTCTGCACATATGGACATATATAATAGCATCTACCTATCTTCCAATCCGTAAACTAAGTCACATCCTTTGACTGAAAAATTCCTGTATCTGTAATGAAGTCCAGCATTGCTGGATCAGAGCCTCTGTTGGCATTAAGGCTATAGCCCAAGTGAGAGCAAGCACGCCCCCCCTCCCCAAGTCACTCACACCACATGACTAGTACAAATAAAAGCTACATCGAAAATCTTGCCTTTTCTGTTACTTTCTCAACTCCAGTCTTCAGTTCATGTACCATATTGCTGATTTGCTTAGCTTTGCTAAGGCTGTCATCAGGTAGCTCTTGATGGTGCTCAATATGCTGGTTGAAGTGGGAAAGTGGTTCTTTCCAGGCTTGCAAAAGTTTCAGTATCAAGTGAGTGAGTTCTTCTCTCTGATAAATTAAAACAGTAAAGAATTTCTCTGTTAGTTTGCAGCAGGTCATATGAACACTGTTAGACAGTCTCACTGTGAAATCTCAGTGGGATTAAGATTTACACCTGCAATTCAGTAGCTTTCAAACATTCAGAACTTGAGGGCCACTCTGCCTCTGGTTGTTTGCTTATGTATAAGCAACACCCAAAAGTTGTATTTATTTGTCTTGTTTTCAGCTTTCTTAGACTCCTAAGCTCTGTAATACCCAAAACTGTGCATACAGCATTAGCAAAATGGTGTCGTTCCTGTCAAACTTACTGGGTACTAAAAAAAGTTTTCAGGAACTCCTAGGTGTCTCAAGAGCCCAGGAATCCTCATCTAGACATCTCTGTTTGCTGGTATGGAAGCGTGGGTGTTTCCTCGCACCTGCCGTGGCTATCGCTGTGTTGGCTAGAGGTTGGCTGCAGACACACTTCCCTGAAGGTGCCTGGTCGTCAGGACGGTTGCTTCTCTAACAGAAACTCAATGGCTGTAAGACCTCTCTTGCAATGTAAGTTCAGAAATGAGGTTGACTGGTTAAAGTTTCCTAAAGCAGGCAGGACCTCATTTCCCATTGCCCTTCCAGGAGAGCTTCTAAACGCCTTGGGGGGAAGCTCCTCACTCCAGCACAACCAAAGAGCAAAATGTTAATATTCATCTCCATCCGTCTCCTCCCTGAGGCAAAAGTTTCTTCCGCTGCTGTATCCTTGATATTACAGTCTGCTTTTTGTCTAAAGAAACTCTTCCTGCTCTTCTCTAAACTAATAATGATTTTCTTCTCTTTGCCATTACATCTATCTAAAACAATTTGCTGTTCTTTTCCCTCTACCTAACTACCGATTCAGAGATAATGACTGTTACTTTTCTCTCGATTGCTTTTTGTACTTTGCAGGGACACTGATTAATTTAACTTGTCTGTCACACACAGTTTTCTCAATTTGTGTCCCACAGAGATTGCCACAACAAAACCAAAGGGAGGGATGTCTGTCAGTCGTTTGGACAAAGTACTACTGCAGTACCCTTACTGTGATCTGAGCATATGTAACCGTACACACCTTTAAAATGCAACGAACCAACGATTCAGATGCAACACCTCCGTGATGTGCACCTGTTTGGGGTCAACACTTAGCAGCTGCTTCAACCCGAACTGGTGATGAAGCACCGGAGGCAGCAGAACCTCTCTGCCCGTCTCCAGCCCGACCGGCGTGAGGGACCACCGCAGCCCCATGGCTGAGACATCTGGGGGCTCTGACGGGACGGGACGGGGGGTATCTTCCCCTTTCCTCAGGGGGGAGAAGGGAGGCGGTGTGTGTCCCCCCCACCCCGCCGCCCGCCTTACCGGGATTTTTTGGGCGTATTCTTTGCCGTTGGGGGTCAGCATCCCCGACGTGTGGCACTTCCGAGCGGGCTTCCCCAGCTCGTTGTCACGGGGAGGAAAGCGTTTTTCCTACGAGGGAAAAAAACCTGAGGAGACACCGAGAGCAACACCCCCCCCCCGACCCCGTCCCCCGCCCCGCCCCCGGTGGCCGCTCCCCGGGCGGCGGGAACCCTGTTCCGCGGGGCGGCGGGGCCGTCCCGGCCCTCACCAGCTCGGCGTAGAGCGCTGTGGAGAGGCTGTGGATCCTGCCCGAGTGCCGGATCACCCGGTCGAAGAGATCGGCCACGCTCAGGAGGCGGCAGCCGGCGTCTCCCGGGGCGCAGACCAGCAACCACAGCAACGCCAGCCCCGCGGAGGCACCTGTGGAGAGCTCGGCGGCGGCGGGGGGGGGGGTGGTCGCCCGGCCCGGCCCGGCCCGCTCGCCCTCCGCCCTCACCTGCTCGCCCCGCCGCCCGGGCGAGGGCCATGACGCCTCGGAGCCCGCTGCCCGGCTAGGATGGGCCGGCGTTGCCCCGGCGTCCCCTATATATATATGCCGGGTGGGGATGGTGAGTGGCGGGAAACCTTTCCTGTCATGACGGGTCCCTCCCTGACTGACATGACGGGTCCCTCCCTGACGTGCGCAGCCGCGGCCAGCGGGAGCAGGGCTGCCCGCGGCGGGGCTGCCGGCTCGGCGGGCGGGAGCGTTCCTCTCACCGACGGGACCAGCGGCTCCCCCCCGCCCCCCGCCCCGGCAACCCGCCGGACCCAGCAGAACCGGGTCTCCCGGGCTCCGTGGTGGGGCTGCGACACCCCCGCCGTGGGGCCAGGGCTGCGCCGGTGCCGCAGGCCAGACGGCAATGGGCAACGTGAGGGGTGGGAGAGAAGCCTGGCCTGAGGACGGCCATCTCTTAAGCCATCTCTTCTCATCAGAGGGCTAAGATCAGATCTACTTGCCCTGCTCCCTGGCAGGGGGTCGGAGGTAAGGCCGCTGAAGGTGACCTCGTGCTTGGTGGTGCCAGCCTGCCCCAAGATGGTTGGCGATGTGTCCCATATGGCTGAAAGGTTGAGTAACGCAGCACCGCACTCCGATCAGGATCCCCAAAGGGGTGCAAGTCCTACGGACTCGGCTGTGCTGTCCTCCGTTTCTGGGGGCGAGATCCTGAGCAACCCTGCAAGACGTACAAGGAAAGAGGAGACGTTTGCTGTGAGGCTCACGACTGCTGACATGTCAAACTAGGAGCTGCTTCAAGCTGACCGACGGGGGAACCTGAGCACAGGGTCTTAGTGCTGTGTTTTCTGGGGTTTGGCACCCCACCCCTTTGAAACCCACTGGGAACAGCTCAGGGTCTGATAGAGCTGGAATCGGGCACCTTCCCATCCTGAGGGTATTCAGGCTGAGGTTGGCTGGGGGACTGCCCTAACTGGCAGCTCTTATGACATGGGGAATGAGTCAGCTCTGCCCTTCTTGTTGAAGTTTTTCACCGCCAAGGGAGCAGTCTGCTTAGAAATGAGGATACATCTGACATGAAATTGTCATCTTTCCTCTGTGACTACCCCAGCCACTAGGCTAGAGTCCTGGATCTGTTTCTAGCCCCTGAGTCCCAGTTTCCCTTATGGAAAATGGAAAGACCATTTTCCAGAATGGTCCACCAGAATGATGAAGAACGTCCCTATCCCCTGCCTTTTAAGGAGAGCCGGGTGACTATGATCCCTTCTGGAGGTGGAGGACGTGAGTTTGACTAGCTCTTGGCCAAGAAGGAAATGACCTTGGTCACCCATAATCTGTGTGGATGCTAAAGAACTGGTGGAAAACAAGCAGAGGCGGCTGCTTCTCTAGCTGAATCTTAAAACTAATTGTCTGCCACTGCATTCTGCATGAAGTCAAGTGGCATTTCCAAAGGATTTGCATTTTGAAAGTGCCAGTAGAAGTCACTGCAAAGTAGGGCCCCCTTCTTCCATGCTTGTGCTCTCTGCCTGGGTTCTGTTTTCCTTGTTTGCATCTGTTTAAGGATATGGCTCTTTGTTAACAAGACAGATTTTTAAGTAGGAAAAAAAGAGATTTTCATTTCCTTTTGCCCAAAGGAAGATTGATAAGATAGCATGAGAAGGAATATTCAGATGTCTTTCTCACACAATCTCCTTCATTCATATAGACATCTCAAAGGAAGGTTATTTTTCTGAGAGCTACCCACAAATCCTGTGTCCTTCCAGGGAACTTTTGCTGTGATGTGCGTTGAGCTAGCTAGATTTGATTTAATTAAGTGACTGCAATCTCCAACAAGAATTTACTTTTTTCTTGACAGAGTTGGATCAATATAAGCAAATACTAGAAATCTCACTATTGGGCTAGTCCACATGCTTCTCAGCCTCTATCAGCAATGCAGTTTAGCCAGCCCTTTAAATCGATACATGTCTGAACCCAACAGACCAAACTCACTTCTCTAAAATTCCCCAAGCCACTTCCAAAGGTCGCTAGCACGATGGGTCTGTAAGATACTTTTTATCCCTCATTTTTTTAAATTTTAAAAATTAGTTTTAAAAACAGTTCCTTAAGGTGTACTTAATCATCTACACTATTCAGCAGAGGTTGTTCTCATTCTCTTGCATCTGCTTTATTTCTAATAAATAAAACAATGCATTTAATTTCAGTGGTTAGAGCTGCTGAGCCAGTTCTTAATGGGGATTGTACAGTAAGCCTTGCCAATAGCTCCGAGCATTTTGGTAGCTGATAAAATACTTCTGGCTTGTGGTCCAGCTGAAGGCTTGGAATATTAGTACTATTTCTGATAAGCAATCATGCATATGATAGGATCTGAAAAACATTGGTAGAGTGCATATGGGAAGCAAGTGGATCAATGACTTATTTTTATTGGCCAATAGCCATTTTCTTCTGGTTTTCACATGTCTTGGAGAAATCCTGACATATGCAAATCTTATCCTAGAAGAGGTTCCTTAAAATGTTAAGACAGTTTTTAAGTTTTGAAGGAGCTGTGAACTTTGCACTGTGGAAAATGTAATGACTCGCACAGCAAAAAATGCAGTACAGCTTAGAGGTCCTAGTTTCTAAAATGAATGATGTTTTCTTAATGAAAGATATACCAACGTTTAAGAATTGTTTTTCCTGGCTCTTCACTGATATTTTAAGTTTGTAGATTACAGCAAACTGGAAGAAGTCACTTGCATTTTAGAATTCAACATGATCTTGAAAATTAGAGAAATGGCCTGAAGAAAGTAGGGTACAGTTCAGTAAAGAAAAATGCGAAGTACTATGCTTAGACGGGAGCTTAGACTGCCCACATACAGAACGAGGCAGCAGTCGAACAGAAGGGGATTGTGGCTTGTAGGAAATAACAAGCTGAACCTAGGTCAGTAGTATCTTACTGTTGCTTTGTGTTGTTTATTTATTCATTTGTTTTGCAGCCTGGGGTATGTCCTTTGAAATGCTGTCTGTGAGACATGCAGAAGAGTTCTTCTGCCATGCCTTGCGTTTGTATGGCTTCTGCTAGAATACTGTGTTCCATGTTGGCCATCCCATTTCAACAGAGATATGAGCCAGGTGGAAAGAGCCCAGAGGAGAAAAGCAAGAATGATCACAGGTTAGAAACCCTCATGGCCTACAAGGAAAGACTGAAGGAAGTGGGGTTGTTTGCTCTCTAGAAAGGAAAGACAAGGCAAGGATACAGTTTTCAAATGTGCAGAAGGTAGCAGCGAAGAGGAAGGGAATCAATTATTCACCACATTCATTATGGGTACAAGATATAGTGGGTTTAAACTGCAATAAGGGAGATTTAAATTAGACATTAGAAAGAAGTTCTTAATGGTTAGGAGAGTTAAGGACTGGAACAGATTGCTCAGGGAAACCGTGAAAGCTCTATCATTATCTAACCTTTCTTACACACTTTCAAACAGTTTTCAGCCAGTCAGCAGTGGTGTTTGTCCTGCCGTGGGCAGGAGGGTAAGTGGGTAATGTCAGACCTCTCCCTCTTCCAGCCTGCTGAAGTTTTATAGTGCAAGACCAACTGCAACTGGAGTTCATTACATGTTCAAAATCACTCCTAAATTTACATCACAAAGGAGTAAAAGCTGAAATGAAAAGGTTTGTTTCGACCAAATACTGTCCACTATTGATTTGCCCTTTTCCTATAACATAGCAACAGGCACGTTTTACAGCTCAAGAAGGGACAAGTCACACACTTTTGCTCTGAAAGTTGATAGTACGAGCTCTCGAATAAAACAATACGGATCTTAAAAGTGAAATGACTGACTATCCGCTTAAAGGAATCAATCATTTTCTGAAGGCCAGATCTCAGCTCTATGATTTTTCTCAGCTCTGTAAACAAAAAGGCATACTTCTGCTTTTACCACTTCATGTAAAAGTGTTTGGCTTTTCTCACTTCTAACTTCTCTGCTCTTCTCTCTCTCCTTGGGCTGGTGCATTTCTTCCCCCTCTCCGGGCTGATTTACGAACTCAGGAAGTCTCGCTATGCCTTGGCATAAGTGTGATGAGTTGGGTGGTTAAGCGTCCCTTCACTGTACCAGGAACTCTTACACGGCTAAGACAAGGAGTTGCAGTGACTGTACCAAGGACTCCTGTTGTCTGGCGGATGCTGGGGAAGGGAGTAGGGATAATTAGTCATTTCATGACAACCTTGGGACATATCTCAGTCCTCTGCTGACAGCCTTGGAGCATCCCGTATCTGAATCTTAAGTCATTCTCTGGCAGCCTTGGAGCCTTCCTTATCTGAATCACAACTCACGTGAAACGGTACCAGTTCTACTGGTATCCCAGCAATTTGTTGATGACAAAAGTCAATCGTCTCCCGAACCTATAAACAGCGATACTAAGTGAGACCCTTTGAGCTCTCCTGGACCGCAGCGGGCTGTGACCAGCATCTCTTTCTGAGCCGGACGCCTCTCAGAGCTCCCAAACTTTCCTGTTTGCAAAAATTGGAGGTCTGTCACCGAAAGCTGACAAGACTGGGCTGATACTCTCCATTCCTTGAGGCT